ACCTAATTAATTTTGAGTTTGACCTTTTACTTCGTGTGTTTCATAAAAGTCATTTCATAAAAATTGAGAATTTAAGGACAATCACAGTGACCATTTTTCTTTCGAAAATGTTACGTTTTTATAAATTTTCTTAAAAGTCACATTTTATATTTGATATAAGGTAGAGCCTTCGATTTCGGTGATGTGGCAAACCTAGCTACCTAGCTATTATCTTTTATAATTTGAATATTGTCGTATGAAATATTTGATTCTAAACAGTTATCATAATTCCCTAGTATGAATGTCTGTTCATATAATACCATCAAGAGATTTAACAGCACTTTGTACGCGGCATTTCTCAATGCCTAGCTGAGTTGTTACCCTCTGTTGCTAGACAGTTTATTCAAAAACTAAGGCGGGTTCAGTTTAATGCTGCTTTTAGTCGAATATTGTTGTATTAAATGCGAAGACATCAAGAAAGCATTCAAATTTAAAGACAGTATTCATTTGCAGTAATGTATGTTAATGCATTAGACACAAGTAGTCGTGATGTAGTTTTATTATTGAGATATCAATTACTCCATTATTAAATACACAATGGCAACAATGAATTGTAACTATTCGCTTGCAAGTATTTAACTGTTAAAGAACATTTTGTTCTGAGAAACTTATTATCGTGCCACAGCTAAATTAGGTGACCAGATACTCATCATTGTAATTATGGTGTGTAGCGCAGATATTGTTCTCCAGCTTTGTCCCATAATACTTAAGGAACACATACAGGATACTTGCTTAGCCAACCACATCCAGTAAGACAGTGATCATATAAGTACTACAGTATGAGATTATTATACTTAAAATACAACAACTGACCTCCAGTACGGAACACATATAATTGTAGATCTGATAATAACCCTGTTATCATTTACGTTTAATTTAGAATTTAACTCAACACCTTCGAACAATAAATTTCACTACCTTTTGAATCCTTATTAAAGTAGAACTTATATGTCATAGTTACCAAATTTAAAGCAGCTTTTATAGAAATCCTTTAAATTCATAGTATTCCGGTGTGGTTTCTGACAAATAGGAAATTTATAGGATATCGTATAGTATCTGTTTGTACGGTACATGTAAATGGCTGTGATGCCGTCCTGATCAATAAAATGTTACAGTAACTGTCATCATTTTTTATAATCTGGAGAATTTTTAACTTTATGGTATGATATATAGTGGATAGTGATATATTTAGAATTTGTCATATCCTATATCTCAAGGAACCCCATTCTTAAATTCTTCTGCTTTACTTAATACTACTTTTGCCACATTTTATTGGAATGTCATGTGTCTAAACATTTCACCTTACGCATGCATTGCCTTCAGTCATATCTGTCGACCGCTGGGATTGAGGTAAAGACTCTGTCTGGAATGATTGCATGACTTTCCCGAACACTGAGTTACATCATCACTTAGAAATTCGTATGACATGTTTAAATATAAATTTTGAGTAACTTGACATAAAATGTTGCTTCTTTATAACTTTTATTAGTTCTAAAGTTGTCATACTTTATTTCATTTAAGAACTAAAGGTGGTTATTTTTGCCGAAAAATAGAATAAATTTTATTCTTTTGAAAACTTCCTTTCTAGTTGAATAATAAATTAAGCTTGTCTCGTATTACACAGTTAGTAACAGTATACTAGTTTGCGGATAAAATTAACAGTAACGAAAACTCAGCTAGTACACATACAAAAATATAACATGAGTTGTTTCACAATAGATTATATACATGCTACACTATTTCATATTATACTATTATCCAAAATATTACAAAAGGGAATCGATTCGTTTGTTAAACGTATACTGTATAGCTTTCTCAAATGTTTTCAAATGGTATCAACTGATATACAGGGAAGGTACGTTACCACTTACTAATAAAATATTTTTTATCTGGATAGTGAAAAGTTAGTATGGTTAAAACAATGACCTATTCTTATTCTTTTTCTTCGAAGACAATATCTTTGTGTTGTCTATAAATAACACACAAGTGTATATACGAGAAGATAACTCAACTATCAAATGTTCAAACAAGCACCAGGTAAAGAGCCCCATCAGAAATCTGTTCCACTGGTCTGAGAGAAGGAAACATTCAGTAGAAACCATGCAACAATCATTCAGAATCCAAGTTTATCTTGCATAGGTCAGAGTTTCATTTCCATGAACAATTCTAAAGCACTGCAGCAGGTGAATAAACTGTAACACTAACAGTCTGTTATAAATGAACATAAAAGTGTCTAACAGCAGCGATGACTAATACACACAGGAAGCTATGCTTACATCTTGTTCATGTTCTATGAAATGGGACATTATTTCGCATTCCACGTAGGAGAGACTTTAGAAGTTTGTTTTTTCACCGAATAAGGGATTATTATTTTTCCATTGGATTCCACTCGGAACCCAAGGTTTTAGAAGCATATATACACTTTATCCTCTTCTCTGCGGCCCTTCTTAGCAGCCCAATCGATTCACCATAGGCCTTCATATCCTCCTCGCACCATCTCTTTCATTCACCCTCACGCGTTCAACTCGTCGTTTCCCACTCGAGTTCAACGCAAGCGATGGCCTTGCGTACAATGTCATTCGATGGCCTCCTTAGTGTGCGTCCATTCCACCTCCACTTTCTTCTGCCTATTTTTTGAGCAAAAGGTTTTTAGTAGTTGCACTCCCATAGTTTGTTCTTGCTAATTCCTTCTGGTTATTCGATCTACAATATTGTGCAAAGGCACCTTCTAATAAGTGTTACGTCTAATATTGCACCTATAAACACTAAATTTGTATATTATACGCCATTTTGCATTTCGTCTTAATTAGACCGTTTGTGCTTCATCGGACTGCCGTACATTTTCCTGTTTGCCTGCACATTTTTGCTAAATGCAAGTCAATTTTTGGGTTCAAGCATTGTATTCTCGTTGTTTGGATGCTGTGTAACGTCGTATCTGAATAACAATAATCTTGTAGTCCTTCGATACTCAGTCACCAATATAATTCTGTTTGGAAACATTTGGATTCGTTTTGGATTTGGTCAAGTCTATTTATAACAATTTGGTATTGTTTCAGATTTTTTATTTTATTTTATTTTTTTTTGGTTACAGCTTGATTCCACACCGTATTTTCAATACAAGTATGGAATTTTCAGCATGCATATCGGTAGCCCAAATTTACAGGCCGACCATAGATATCGGGTGTGCGTCGGCAGGGGGTCGAACCCCGGACCATGTGCATGGTCGGCGAGAGTCCTAACCACTGTACCACCGACGCTCGAGGACTGCGAGTCTCTCTCTTTAAAGGATTATTTGTGCAGTGGCTGTAACGAAGTTCTTCAAGATTCGTTTGGTTGTAAAAATAAAAGTCAGCAACCTACTGGAAGACTAACAAATTACCTAGTGGGATATAAGATTTCGGTTACAGATAACCGGTTTTGGATCAAACCGGCGTTATTACTAACGAGTGTCTAATTATTTTTACCGCTTTAATTACATTTCACCATTTGCCAAATGATAACAAAAAATTGACGCTTTACAATTCAGGCGTTAAAGATCTGAACTGAACTTAATATGGCCGTCGAATCAAAACCAAAATCAGCCATACTGGGTGATCTAATGATGGGCAATGATGCTCAGGTGAAGCAATGGATATCTTGTGCATGAGGTCGGGTATTATGTTACACACAACATTAGTTGATACATAAATCTGTACTGTTGCTAAATACTTCGAAAAATATGAGCTCAAAAGTTACCGGACACATGAGAACTTTGTGCAGATTTTCAAGAGATCCATCAGAATCATAAAACTGTAAGATGATTAACCATTTACTTCGAGTGATGGAGATAGAACTCAGGAAGAATTAATACAAGGAGACTTAATCATCGTCATTTGTAAAGATAACCACTCGGAATAATCAACCAGAATTTGTAAAGACTGGAAATTCAGCCATGAATTCAAAAGCGACATAGAGTCTGGGTTACTACAGTTCAAGAGCAATTCAGCGATACCAGACAAAAATTCACAGGTGGATTCATTGATCATTTTAACGCGCCCAAAAGATGAGAATTTTGAATTAGGTATTTTGCTACTTTAGGTATCTTCGTAGTACTTGTCATTTCAAACTATTTAGCCTAGAAATTTGTGCAACCTCGGTATTAAAGCAGTGCAGATAACGACGAAAAACGAATACAAAACGTGTACTTTATAGAACTCCGTTATTTTACCATGCTAAACCTTAAAAGTTGGTGTTGTATTCCAAGTCACACACGTTTTGTGCTGCAAATTCGATTAAAATCATTGCGAAAAAGCAAAAATCAACTTAGGATATCATTTTGTTTACAGAAGTGGACTAAAACACCGAACGAATATCTGAAAAAATAATCAGGACGCTGAACGTGATAAGCAACGGATATATCTTAGCCTTAGCATCTTTAAGCCATCTACACATTTCGAGCTTTGACTACGTTTTCCTGTGGTTTGTAGCAGTAGTCAGAGAATTCACTGACTAATACCATTTTAATTTAGACTCTGTCTTAATACTTTTCAGCCGAAATTTATTTTGGATGAAGCAAATACGAATGTTAGCAGATGATGGGTTATTTTTGCCTCAGGGTTATGAACTCAAGTCTACTTTAATTACCAATCTCTGATTATTAACGTGGAAATCGCCTCGGTAAGAATACCTAAGTATCTCTGTACCTAAATGAAAATTCCCTTTAAGACATAATTTTCTACTAGGAAATTAAAATAGCCTCACACAGGGGTCAGCACTGTGTTGTGCATCAAGATAATTCAGACGGATCCAGATATCTCAAAGCTAGCTATACATGTGTAATGAAACGAAGTCTGAATGCCTATGGAAAATAGAGTTTCTTTCCGTCAATATTTACTTTGGAGAACCCTAAATTAGTTTCTGCCCGGTTGAATGGAGAAAAAATGTGGAAATTATATGTTGTAGGGATAAAATGTTCAACTTACGGGATTGATTTTGGCAAGCTATACAACGTCCATTTATAATTGCTTCCAAAGAATAAGGTATGGTATTATTTTTCTCTTCCTGAATGAATCCCTCTGAACCTGGATTCTTTAAATGCTCAGCACACTTCAACACATATTCTGGAAGTTTAGTAGTCCATAGATCGTGTACAGCCAAGCAGCTTGCTTTTGAAGGAGCTATCCATGCTTGTTTCTTGTCCGCAAACCTAGTCACCCTGAACCTCGACTGTGACGATAAAGCTTTAAGTTCATCTTCCGTAAGTTCTACTGGAGATTGAGCTGCACCATTACTCTCTGCACTTTCCAAGAGAGACTTCGGAGAAAGTCGCATTGATCGCCTCTTGAGTTCTGTTTCGCTTTTTGCATATTTCATTCGTTTCCTGGATTTTTTCATTGCACCAAAGCTTCCTGTCTTTGTTTCAGAGTTCGCTGTTCCCAAATTGGGGGATGAACGAATTTTCTTAAGACCTGATTCAGAACTTGGTGAGATTAAGTTTCTTGCTTTTATCTTTTCATGTCGTACACTCAATAACACAAATCCAGGTCTCGTACGACCCCGTATACTCTCAACTATATCATTACTAGATTCAGGAGTAAACTCAAATGAGCCTTTGCGTATGCACTGGTGTATATCTTTTATCGTTAGTGCCTGCGCAGTTGGACCACTCGCATATGAGTCATTAATTGATTGACTAACCGGAGATGTTTCTTCTTGTGGACCATCATGTTGGACAGTATACGGGTATAACACAATAGGCTGACCCGGACATTCTACAGTAACGGAACCTTTTTGGCTGGTATTACTACTGTCATCCCTTGGAGTTATATGTAACGAAAGACCACTTTCTCCTTCAAACTTGGCTTCAACTGGTACTAGAAATGTAGACATATCTGAGTGTTCACTATTTACAGCCCAGTTTTGATTAGGATGCTCATTTAAGCCAAAATTTTGAACATTGCATGGGAGCGGTTCTTGATTTTGAGACTGAATGTTCGACTGGCTTTGCAGTGGAATGGTACTTTTGAGCGTATCATAATATTGTGCAAGTTGCAGTTCAATCAGTTTCTGGAGCAACAGAAGTTGTAGCTGCCTCTGAGCATTGTAATCCAAGTCGCTTAAATTTTGACCTAAAACCTGATTTTGTATGCTATGAAATACATTTTCTGAATTATCCTGAACATCCGGGATACTTGCGTGACCTAAACTATCATCATTTATGCCATCTAATGAGTTTGGAAAAATGAACCCATGACATATTGGGCGACTGTAGCTTTGTGGAAGTTCATGCTGTGTTTCACTGGAAACGCTTGCTGGTTGAAGTGATAGAGGAACATTTGTAGGATTTAAGGGCATGTATATCACTTCGTTGGTAGGGTTTAGAAGATTTGATGAGCATTCCAGTGGATATGCATTAAATGATGCATGATAAGAAGTGTGAGACAGATTTTCTGTTTCTGAAGTCACTTCGGATTTTGGAGTTTCAAAATTATTTAGAGAAGAGCTTTGAGACGAAGCTGTCATCACAACATTTAAGCGAGATTTAATAACATTTTTCGAATTTGTGCAAGAAAAATAAACTTCGTTCTCAGATGGAAAAAACAAAATTCGCAAATTTAGTTATAGCTGTGAGCCATTTCATTTCCAGTATCCAATATCTTTTCACGAGCTAGTATAAACCAATTTGATTTCCTTGTGCTCGCCTCTTGATTGTGAGGATAGGTTCCTGATCTTCGGTAATCTTCTGCGAAGCTCTTCCCGCCACTCGACTGTCGTAGCTTTGATTGACTCCAAAAGGAGTAGTGCTGGGATTAATGATATGTGGTTCATAGTATGAGGTGTGTTAAGACTGTTTCTACTGTGAATGGAGTTGATCCTTTCACCAGTTAGTCCTCCGGTATCGTCGTCAAAAGATAAGAGATAATAATAATAGAAATACTTAGTGAAGTTATTCAGACTAACAGACAAAGAAAGAAATAAAAAGGTGACAAAAGTCAGCTGATTAAATTTGAAGTTGATGTATATGTATATATATATCGAAAATAATAATGATAAGTGCAGTTAAAGTTGTCAGGAGAGTAAGACAGGGGAAAATGTGAAGAAGTGAAATGTCGAACTTAGTTGTCTACCTATGAATGGGGTGTGGGATTCCAAGGGGATAGGCCATTTGGACGAAGTCCCTGTATCGTTACATGATTGTCCAGCCTTCGCTTAAAGGTGTCCGCAGACGGTGCCATAGCTACATCTGCCGGTAAGGAATTCCAGGGACGGCAAACCCGCAGGGAAAAGAAGTGGGAGCGCACCCGAGTCCTTGCCCTCTGATGAGCTATCCTCCTAGGATTTTCACGAGGGAGCCTATACCTACTCAATGGCAGAACACCTTTGTTTGGGTGATTCTGATCATTTGTTATTTTGTAGTCAGTAATTAAATCCCCCCTAAGACGACCGTAACTGAGTGTGAATAGGCCTAATTTCTTCAGCCTTTCATCATATGGTTTATTTCGGAGACCAACCACTCCTTTTGTTGCCCGTCGTTGGACTCTTTCCAAGAGGTTGGCGTCCCTTTTAAGCAGTGGGGGTGCAATGATATTATGCACTTCAAGATGTGGTCTGACGTATGTTTTATACAACCTTAGAAAGAGCTCAGGAGTGAGTGCACTTAATTGTCTATGTGTAAAGTGTGTGACCGCATATGCCCTCGCTACATCCCCCGTGTAATTTGCGCTTGTATCCAAGTTTTCCATTACAACTAGACCTTAGTCGCGTTCCGGTGTTGTGCAGGACAAGCTTACATTGCACAGGGGGTAACTGGAATTCTGCAGTCTACAGGTGCGTAACTTCACTACTTTGCGATTTTTCAGGTTGAAAGTCACGCCACTGGCCACCGCCCAGTCTTGCAGAAGCTTCGCATATGCCTGCAGCCTATCTGAATCCTCCGGACACTTTATCGACCTCCATATCTTTACGTCGTCAGCGTATAGAAGAGTTGGGCAGCTTAGACGGCATGGTAGATCATTGACAAAAATGAAAAAATCAGTGTTCCTGGGGTAGAACCCTTAGACACTCCTGATGACGAGCTGTGCCAAGATGATCGAACTCCATTGACCTTAGTGCAAAATTGTCTCTCTGCTAGGTAGTCCTTTTGCTATGACAGAAGTGGTTTACTTACACCTGCCTGACTTATTTTGTGTGGGAGAAGGTCATGGTGAACAGTGTCAAATGCCTTCTCAAAGTCTAGAAAGATCACATGGACTGGAACATTCATATCCCAGCATGATGTCCAGTCGTCCCAAGCTGATAGTAAGTTTGTTGCACAGGATCTGCCTTTCCTGAAACCGTACTGGGCTTCATGGAGTATATTAGACCTATCGAGGTATTCCCTGATGTGATCATAGACAATACTTTCCAGAACTTTTGATACCACTGGTCTATAACTAGTGGCATTTTGCCCATCCACATTTTTGAAGATAGGAGAAATGATGGCTCTTTTCCACTCCCTTGGCAGTTTCCCCGGATCCATCGAGTGTTAGAACAAGTCGCATAAGGGCCTATAGAAAGCTTCGGCGAACTGTTTCGGAACAGATGGCCTGATGTCGTCATAACCTGGGGACTTCCCAGGTGTGAATCGCCGTAGCTTCCCTAGTCCTATTGCCGGTTTTATTTGGGGAGTAGCCATCAGGTCTTCCCCCTGCGAAATAGTAGTGCCATTATTTTGGTTCATGACGACATTGCAGTTTAGCGGTTAAGCGAAGGCTAAAACGAATGTTTCAGCCATCTCCAGACTAGTGAGATGTTGACCGTCTGGGCCTACCAAGGCACATGCTCCTGATTGGTTGATTTTCTTTCCGATATGAATCGATACAAGTTTATGGGGTTTGCTAGGAGATTTTGGCAAGGTTAGCCTGGAATGACCTCCTGTCCCTCCTGAATCTCGCGTTGCAGCAGTTCCTGAGTTCCAGGTTTGCGTCGTTGTCGATCTGACTCTTATAATAATAATATATCCTCATTTTTGTACATGAGGAACGCCAGTTTACAGGCATCATCGATTCGATAAATTACACATACGATTAGCAAGTATAGTTAGTAATGATAGTGTACATATTTATTCCTACAAATGTAGGAATGTATAGGTATGGATAAGTATTATTTAAGTTACGTATTTAAATTACATGGATTACGGTTAAATAACATGGTTGTTGTCATTTTATCTTTAGTTTGTGGGAAAAATCTGATAACTAGTGATTCAATGGACCACATCAGTAAAGATAGAGATATTGACTTCACATTAACAAAAAAACCCAAGTATGCATTGGATAGATTACATATACTTGGGAAAAAAATTAAGCTTGAAGTCAGTTCCCTCATAAAACAATAAAATGCGTCTTACAATAATATATTCTCACTTTATGCACTTGAGGGCTCCAGTTGACAGGCATCATCAATATCATAATAATGCACACATGGAGTAAACATGATTACAATTTTTCACTAACACAGAATATGTATACAAGGGAAGATAATGCAATATTGGCCATAAGTACACTCTGCATAAGTTTAAACAGTTTATATGGCATAATCCTAGGCACAATTATTGTTTGATTTTGTTGAATATGAGCGTAACAACTGAGTGTTGCGTTACATTTGGTCGATATGGTGGGCTACTCACAAAAGTATAAAAATGGCTTATAAAACGTTACTTAGTTTACCGTAAACGATGTTTTAAGCAATATAATCTGCAAGAGGCTCGCCACAGCAGAGAAGTATTAATAATTCAGCACCTGGTGAATTTTTGATTCTTTTCGGTCTGGAACCTGAGTGACTGCGAACCAATCCATACAAAAATGTCGAAGGAGGCACGCAGGAGCAGAATTTTACCGTCGAATGAGTCACTGGGATCTGAAATGCAGCTGTCAGCTGCCTGACGACAGTATCCGAGAATAATCTCTTTAACCACTTCTCAGTGTTCATCCACAGGTAGTTCATCCCATGCTAAGGGCAAGTCTGCGTCGGACAAGAGCCTCCGCATTTCAGCATAGTCAGCCTTTCTATAACACAGACATGGTTGCGTAACGTCCCAATGCGAATGCTCACGGGGAACAAGATAGAAACCTATGACTGCATGGTCACTATTCCCTAGAGGAGTCATGATCTGAACCTTTTCGACGAGTAGTTGGTCACTAGTTAGAATGTAGTCTAGTTTTGCTGACTTTCCCCACCTAGTGTCGTCTCCAACACTCTCAGTCAGTCCTGTATTTCAAATAGTTTGCGGTAGGTTTCGGTCGAATTTTCCCTTAGCATACCCCGAACCAAGGTTCATCGATGGGGCATTGAAATCTCCAGCTATGGTGATTTGGTCAGAGCCCAAGAACCGTATCCCTGTGATGGTGCAGAGCAGTAGCTGGTTGTGCTCTGCCCCACAGGTGGGTGATCGGTAGATGCCACCCAGTAAATGCTTGGTGTGGCCTGCGGCGAAATGACACCATATGGAGTCTGGGAGTTCAATAAGTGGTGGGTCCGTTGCGCGTACATATTTAAGTTGCTCGTCAAAGTATAAAGCAACTCTACCTCCTTCCTCATTATCCCTGTCTCTCCCGACTAGAACCATATCACCGATACTCATTTCGTTGTCGGAGATAGTGAGGGTTAGCCAGGTTTCAGTGAGAATCATTATTTTAAGTTGTAGGTGAGCTTGGAGATTTCGGAGTTCGCCTACTTTTCCCCACAGCTGATAGTGAGTTGCACAACCTCAATGTGTTGTGGAGTAGTTGAGGTGAAGCTATCTGATGGTAGGGGACTTAATGTGGGGACTAGTTGGCCGATTCCAATGGATGGTTCGGCGTCTGCTTTCGCAGCATCAAATGTGTCCTCCCATATTTTCCTTGGTCTCCTACCACCGTGGAAGTGCTATGGCCAACTGCTCCTGGGAGTTGAATTTTACACTTAGCAGCCTTGGGGAACCAATCAGTGTGAGATGAGCGGCGCGACGTAGTCGGAAAATCCAGATTACTCCCGAAGCATTAAGGGCCATTTGAGATGACAGTCATCTCCATTGCTTTACGTCATGCATATGTTTTTCACAAGCAGTGCTGGTTTCTAGCTCCGGAACACCGTGTACAACCATAGAGATAGAAGGCATCACTTCTGGTGACTCCCTCGCCATTTGTCTGTTAGCCCATGTTCTGTCATGTCTCACCTTATGGTAGAACTTCTGTCGATGGCTAGTACCTGAGCCATCAATAGTATTCTTCCGGCCTTTTCGGCAGAGTCCAGTGTAACTCTTGATAGGGGTGTCTGACCATGAGGCGTGTGCACACCCCTGTACAGCCCGCAAAATTTCGCCGGACTAATGTTCAGACCTAATTTATTGCACACGTTAGGCCACTGTTCCTGATCAAACAGGGCTCGTTTCTTCAAGTAATCTATCCTTGCTCACAGGTAGATTAAAACGGATAAGAGAATTAGACCGACTGACCTCAGGCTTAGGTTTGTCCTTTGGCTTCTTGTATTCCTTTGCAGCACCAGTAACTTTAGGCTTTATCAGGTTTTGACCAGCCTTTGCTGTG